AAACTGGATAATATAAAGAAAACCAGAGGAGAAAAAAATGATATAGAAGATGCATGTGTTAGAATAAATAACTATGTCATTAAAATAAAGTGGTTAATATTTTTGAAACAAGCAACAACTGAGCAAATAAACAGAAAGACAATTGATATTTAAGACTCAAAGTCAATTCTATAACATAAATACATATGTCATAAAACTATAAAATGGTAAAGCTTCAAGGAAATGAATACAGAATTAGCTAATGTAATGCATGTCAATATGAAATACCTAAAATAAATACAGAAAAATTGAAGTCTTGAAGAGATGGCTCAGCGGTTAAGAGCAAGTGGATTAAATTTAGGTTTCAGCACCCACCCCTTGTCAGGGGAATCACAACTGCCTTTACTCCAGCTCTCAGGGATCCGACACCCTCTTCAAGGACATTCGCACTCTCATGACATTTATTCATATGCACAAAGCACAAATAAATAAAAACAAATCTTTTTTAAACAGTAGAAAATAGAGGTTGAGAGATGTCTCAGTGGTTAAGACCACTTGCTGTTTTCCCAGAGATTTGGGGTCCCAACAAAACCACCTGTAAGTCTAGTCCCAGAGAATTCTACAACCCTCTGTCTCTGTGGGGACTCACATAGGGGATTATTATTCAACAAAAAAAATGAGCTATTAACCTACAGAAAACCATTAAGAAACTTTTATACACATTAGTAAGTCTTAGACGCTGAGCTGAAAAAAAAAACCTCAATACTGTAAAATTCTGACTGTGGAGGAAGAAAAAGTGTCAGTGATTTCCAAAGATTCTAATAAGACAGGATAGATAAAGAGATAGATTTAGAGAATGGTGTTGGGGTGGGAAGAGTCAGTGAAACATGATATTCTAAAAATATGTGCATGTATGATTAGATTTCTCCATGCCTACAGACTGTAGAGTACCAAGAAGGAACCTTGATTTAAACTATGGCCTCAGTGGTACACATGCAGGATCATCAGTTGTCAAAAATGCACCAGTTTGCCAGGGTTACCTGTTACAGTTTCCTCTGAGTTCTGTTTCCAGAACAGCTTCAAGGATGCTGGCTGAGATGATCCAGACTCACCAACTACTTCAGCCAAGACTTAATTATCATCCTAAATTTTTTCAGGATCCCTCAAAGATTACCATCAGCCACAATCAACAGGAAATAGCCTATAAAACTATGCCCACATTCCCAAAGTGTTGGTTATAAATGTTTGTCATTATTTGGGGGGGTTACAAGTTGTCACTTGTAATGGTCAGGAAAAAAGCTGAACAAAGAAGATTAGACTCAGGGATATCTTTCTGAAAACAAACAGGGGTGATAGAGAATGATATGATAAAAAGTGTAGATTATTGAATCTACTTTAATCCAAAAACAAGTGCTAATCTAAAATATTTTTCATTGGTATAGATTTTAGTTTATTGATACAAATTTAAAGTTAATTTTGTTATACTGAATGTATATTTCTATTCTTTATAGTATGTTTATGCAGCTCATTTAAAAATATAATGTATAATTAAGAAATAAAGATTAACAGTCATCTATAATAGCAAACTTATAGTCATGTTAGGTATGTTTTCAAGGTCATACAGAGATATATTTCAGATAGATCTTCAGGTAATCTTCAAACACTTCAAAGAACCACAGAATGTGGCATTTAAAATGTCTTAATAACGGACTTTTCTTGATATGAGACACGTCTGCTCCTGGCAGCTCTGATCTACTTCTAAAGAGGATTATGGGTATCAAAGACACTCCATACAGAGTTTGCTTTCTTTGTGGCACAAGCTAGCCTTTAGGACAAGAAACTGCCCTTGCCTTGACTGCTGACAGTACACTGTCCAAACTGGACAACCAGGACTGCTGAACTTTGAAAAGACAGGGTAGGACAATCTTTCAAAATTCCCTGTTTCACAGGAAAGTCTGTCAGATATGCTAGGCCCATAGGACAGAGTTGGATGCCCCAACATTACAAAGGAACTTTGGGTGAACGTCCGGGCAGCCTAATGTCTTTGTCATTCAGTAACATTTAACCCTTCTGGGGTCTTTGATGGAGTCCAAGACTAAATAGTTGTAGTTATAATTGTCCTTAATTACAATAGAAAGTAAATTAGATAAAAAACTTTAGACTTACCAAGATGATAGATAATTATTTTCTCCTATTTTGCCAAATGCAAATGAATTGGATATTGTTATTGTAATTTTTACTTGATAACTGTTTTTGTTGTATATAATCTTACTATATTAAGGTTAAAACCTTCCTTTTTAATTAGACAAAAAAGAGGAAATACTATGGAACAATCCTTTTAAATTGTATGAATATGTCTTACTCTCATTGGTTAATAAAAAGCTAACAGGCTGGTAGCTGGGCAGGAAGTTAGGTGGGAAAGCCAAACTAAGAATGATGGGAAGAAGGAAGGCAGAATCAGGAGAGACAATGGTCAGCTGCCAAACAAGCAGGACATGTAAAAATTAGGTAACAAGTCATGAGCCACGTGGCAAACATAAATAGAAATGTGGGTTAATTTAAGTGTAAGAATTAGCTAGTAACAAACCTGAGCTATTGGCAGAGCATTTATAATTAATATAAGCACCTGTGTGGTAATTTGGAAAGTGGCTGCTGGGTATTTGGGTCTTGCTGGGATGACAGAAACTTTCATCTACAGATACCTATAATGAGGAAGGATGTACACAGGGTGTGGAGAGGAAATAATTGCATTTCCAAGTCATTTAGTGTGGTTTTCAAACTACTCATTAAAAATAGACTTATTTTTTTTAAAGAGACTTTCATCTCAATAAAAATCTGTGATAGGGTCTGCAGTAATGAAGACAACAGAGTATTACATGACACTCAGAGAAAACACTGGAACACTG